CATACTCTTTTTTAGGTTCATTTAGGTTCTTTTGATAACGATAGCAGAAAATAGCTATCGAAACGTCAAGGTAATTTTTCAAATTAATTTCTTAATTAATTAATATTCTGCAACAAATATTTTCCAGGAACTCGGCTTCTGTAGCGACGGGCAAAACATACACTTTCGATCAGTGTCACAGAAAAAAATCTAGCGGCCTTAAATCGGGTGATCTTGGAGGCCAATTTGTGGGTGCATGTTCTGATCCATGTATTAGGTTGTTTCGTTTAAAATGGCGTCCCAATTAGCATAAATTGGCCTCAAACTGCCCGTTTCCCTAAGATGTCTTTCAATAGTAACTGGAAATTTTGCAAAAACTATCAGAACCGATTGACCGACGAACTGTTTAATTTTTTGCGATGAATGCTCACATTTTCCCATCAAGTCCCACTTTAGAAAGCATCAATATAACCCATGTAGCCTGCAAGGAGATAGCGAGAAGCTCTGATTTGAGCGGTGAAACGAATTGATTGATTCATTCTTAAATAGCGAATCTCGCAAAGCCAGAAAATTGACAATTTTTTCGCATTCCCAACAGTCCAAGAACCCATCGGGTCGTTCCGATTTACGACGTGCGCCCGCAGGTTTATCAGAAAATCGCGCCACGCTCAGATCACGTCTCGGTATCGGCTTCGGAAATTCTTAAATTATCGCTGCCATATGCTAGAACCCTCGCCCTAGAGCCATTACTCGTTTTTCTTTGCTCATCGAAGATAATCGGACTGGGTCCACTCGTTCATTTCAACATTAATGAGTAAAAAACACAATTCGGCTTTGTGTGTGAACTGAACGTGAAATCATAATTGCTGCCCTTATCCAATACATGTGATGTGGATTAAAACGGATTTCGAGAGCCCGTTAGAACCTTTTAAGAGCAGCCGAAGAACGTAACCGAGAAACAAATTGTACTGATAGAAAATGGCATTTTCTAGTAACCTGATCTTACCGCAAAAGTAGTGTCGGTTTACCTCCTTGTATGCAACGAAATAAACTCTGTCACCGCAACTTAATAATTAAAGGAATCGGTTAACGGAAACTAGATCGAATGTCAACTATTCCAGTAGGGTCGACAAACGTGGGCTTCACATTAGTGTGGGCATTTAGAAATTCAACGTTATTTTTAAGACAACTTTATCGAACTCCCAGTGCAAGCTGTTTTTTATTCGTGAGCGAAAAACGTTTGCGCTAAAATACCAGAGCGTTTTTGAATGTGTTCTAACTATTAAAATTGTAAGTTTCTTTGTCAAAAGTTTGCTCTTTAACGTAAAAAAACGAATTTGCTCTCGAAATATGAACTTTGACGAAACCATGCGCTCTTCCATTGAATAATTCTGATCTTGCTTCAGTGAGTAACTATTATAGAATCTATCCCAATTGGGAAAAAACCATTAAAATAAAATTTTCCAAAAATATAAATACAGTAAAGTCAGCTTATAATGAACCCGGTTATAGTAAACTTTCGGTTAAAACGAACTTTTTCCTTTAATTGAAACGTCGTCCATAAAGGCCAACGTATGTTTTTACTGGTTATAACAAACCCGTTTATAACGAACTTCCGGATATAACAATCACTTTTTAGGTTAGTTGTATATTCACTTTCCGTTTATAACGAACTTCCACGCTCAGCAACACGAATCGTGCGGAGCTGTTTATATTAGTGAGAGCGAGAAACAAGCAGTGGCTTGTGGTTTTTTGCCGCGTTATGTAAGAAAATCGTTTTTGAATGGAAACACAAAAGCGCAAAGCTTTTTCACTAAATGAAAAGTACGAGATTATTAACAACATAAAAAGTGGAGTAAAGCAGAGTGACATGTGTAAGGAATTAGCACTTGGAAAGTCTACTGTTGTAACAATATGAAAAAACAGAGAAAACATTTTATCAGCGTATGACAAAACAAATGTTAGATGTAGGAAGTTAAAATTATCTGCACATGAAAAGGTTGACAAGG